GGCCGACACAAGGCCCAGAAAAGAGCAGAACAGCAGGAAATTGCCCAAAGTTTGGGGAGAGCCGGGAAATCGGGGGTGGGGGGAAGAGGAGACTCACCCAGGACGGTCAGATGGGTCCCTCCGCCGAACACAGCACACAGTGACACAGGCTTGAACAAAAACCCCTCCCTGGGACGCCCCTGCCCCACCCCCAGCCCCCCACCTGCAGCTGAGATGGAGGAAGTCGGGCCACTGCCCCAGGCTGGTGGCTGCTCTGCAGGGGTCCCCGTGCCTGCCCTGCCCATCCCAGGGGCAGAACGTGACAGGGACCCGGTGCCCAGCAGTCACACTCTTGGAAAGGCAGGATCCCAAAGGGGGTCGGCGTGTTGGACATGGTTTTCCCGTGAACCGCTGTCGCCCAGGAATGGGAAGGACACCACGGGAGGGCATTTGCCTCCCTAAGGAGTGGAGTTCTCTGGAAGGGCTGGGGCTTCTTTCCTACCTAGGGTTGACAGAATCCTGATCCCTTGGCGAGACCACAGACGGAGGGCAGGAGGTGATCTCGGGTGTCCCCAGGCCACCCACAGAAAGGGCAGGCTGCCCTGGAGTGAACTGACCGTAAGAGGCTTCGCTGTCACCCCAGCTGGGCTCCCTGGGTCTCGGCCCGACCTCCCTGGGGTTCTCCTGCATTGGATGGGCTTCTGTCGGGAGGCCTGGGCTGGTGCCAGTAGGGAAGGCCAGCCTGCACCTGCAGGGAGGACGCCACAGTTTCCCTGACACCCCTCAGCGTCTCATGTGATCTTTGTGTCTGGGAGCATTTGATTCAAAGGGGAGACATAAGTGAGCGCCTCCACTGTGTTCCCGAAATACCACCTCACTAGAGAGAATCCGGTCGATGGGAGAAACGGCCCATCCCAGGCCGGAGGCTGGAAAGGCACAAGATGGGCCCACAACAGACTGTCACAGCAGAAAGCAGGGGGGTGTGTGGCGGTCTCCCCAGGCGGTGCCCGAGGCCCTGGGGCTCCCCATGCAGGCTCCCATGGGCACAGGTGGGACACCGGGATCATCAAGGGAACAGCACGGGGAGCTGTATTCAGTACCTTATAGTAACCTGTAAGGAGAGGAGCATGAAAGCAGATCTATGTGTGGATATGAGTGAGTGAAACATGCCGTGCACCAGAAATGGACTGAACATTGGGAACTGACTACACTTCACTAAAAAGTGTTTGAACGAAAATAGAAGCACAATGGATCCGAACACATCAAATCCATGTACCCTAGTGTTGGTTGTTAACTTTCAGAAGACGGCAGGGACCAGTCACCGTTTGGTAAACCGCTCCATTAAAGAAAGAGCAAACCCGGGGTGAGGGTATCGCTCAAGAGGTAGCGCCGTGCACGAGGCGCTGGGTTCAATCCCCAGTACCTCCTCTCCAAATAAATGAACCTAATTACCTCCCCCCAAGTTAAAAAAATTAAATAATACAGTTATAATTTAAAGAAAAGAAAAACAACAACAACAACAACAACAAAACCAGAACACCAAACGTATCTCTGTATTCACTGCAGCTGGACCTGACCCCAGAGCAGTAAAGAGCATCTGAAGGGCCTCCCTCTGTGGGCAAATGGCAGCCTCAGCGGAGGAAGGAGCGCAGAACCGGAACATTGCACCCGGCCTCCCATCCCACCTGATGGACCTGGAATTTGCGCGTCAAAGGAAGATAATTTTACTAAATGACCTGTGACCCCAGAAGGACACCTTGGATGGAAGCAGCCAACTGTCCTAGCAACGGTCTCGCCCAAAGGTCACACCTGACCCCGCTTCATCTTTTGCACCTCAGAACCATCTGCAGGCACACGAAGCAGAGAGAACCACTCAGGTACAGCCCAGGGAGGCCGGGGGCCGAACCCCGACCCTGGCGGAGTCCGGGAGCAGCAGCTGAGCTCCTGGAGCCCCCGCCCTGCAAGGAAAACTAGAGTGATTTGGAAGAGCCTGACGGAGCCACCAGGCCCACGACACAACCATCGATCGCCGAGCCACACCCTTCCAACCCTCATAGAAAGGACCCGAAGAACCATAACATCACACAGCACCTAAAACACAACCAATTCCACACACTTGTGACGACTGCGAGGCATGTCACCTGAAAGCGATTTTGCTTTTGTTATTTTTTTGAGGGAGGAAGTAATTAGGTTTATTTATTTACTTACTTAGTGGAGGTACTGGGGGTGGAACCCACGACCTCCTGCGTACAGAGCTGCACTCTACCCATTGAGCTACGCCCTCCCCCCGATTGTTTTTGTGATACTAAGGAACTGAGGCCAATTTCTGTTTGGTTTTTATTTTTTACATTTTATGAAATAACCGAACACCAGTTTACTATTTCAAGTGTGAAAAGAACCTTCTTTTTTCCTGATATTCAGTTTATTTTTTACATTTTGTACATTACTTTATACTTTACATATGCATTTCCTTTCTTACACATCTTATTTTATCTTTTTTGAGGGATGGTCAGTTTACAGTGCTGTGTCAATTTCTGGTGTCCAGCATAGTTTCAGTGCATATATTTGTTTTTATATTCTGTGTTTGGGTTTGATAATGATATTGAGGTGTATTTTTGGTCCTTTCCTTCCAGGGCACAAATGAAATATTTACAGAGAAAAGACATGACGTAGAATGTGCTGGAACGGCCTGCGTCAGGGAGGGTTTGCGCTGGTGTGGGGAGGTGAGGTCAGCATCAGTGGTGAATTGATGATTCTGGGGCCTGGTTGACCGGAACCCGGGGGTCATTTTACTCCTCTGTCTTCTCGTTTTGTGACCTCAGTTCTTCAGAGTGAAAACTGGTAACAACACCGAGGGGTGTTGTATGAGGGGTGGCCGTAGCTCGGGGCGGGGCGGCTGGAAGCATTGTACCCAGCAGGGCCACTGAGACGAGGGAGACCTAGGTGGTCCCCTCCTCCCTTGGGGTCTTAGTGTTCCCATCCAGGAAATGGGGTCAGGCAGCTGCTGTGGGCCACGAGGACCCCTCGCCTCTTTCACCTCCTAGTCTGTGCTCTGGGGCTGGGGTACCTGGGCGGAAGCTCCAAAGGGGTCCTGTCCTCTGCCTCACCAATGCCCTAGAGTCCTCTGTCCCTGCAGGCTCTGTCGCTGAGCTGTCTCGGCTGCCTGGCAGCTCTGGTGAAGGCAGCTCCCCATCCCAGAGGAGCTGGAGGTATCGACAGGGGGCTGCGAGGCGAGGGGTCCTGTGGATGACAGAGCCTAGGCCTTCACCTTCCAGAGGGTGACCGTGCTTGTCTCAGACCGTGAGTGAGTGCCCGACTGAGTGTCTCAGCTGGAGGTGCACTGGGGTGAGCCCTGGAGATGGATGGGGGGAGGGTCCCTGGGCAGGGAACTAGGGGTGCTGACTTGTGAGGGAAACTTGACCTTGCTGTAGCCCACAGGCCACACGTACCCTGCCTTGAGCTGATCTGACTGAGTCTGACTCTATTGGCGAGTTCCAGTGATTCTCTCTCCTTGGGAGCATCACTGGATGCTTTTTTGGTGCTCAGGCGGTGTCCTTTCCCAAAGACTCAGCTTCCCCGTGTCCCCTCCCCTCCATATAGGGTGATGGCACCTGCTCCATCCACACCCCACCATAGACTAACTCCGTCCCTGACCTGACTTCACGTGTCCAGACTCTTCATGCCTGAGGTCCCAAGTAGGGTCACACAACTGACCTTCTGCGTCTCAGCCTTCCCTGGGATCCCTCCTCCTCTCCTTGTTCCCCCAGAACTGTCCCATGTCCCTCTCACTGGCCCTTCTCCCTTCCCAGGGCACAAGGACTGCACCCCAGGGGCTGGCACCGCACAACAATGCTCTGTTCTGGGTCACGGCTCCCACCAGCACTCAGAGCTCCCTGGTCCCTGGGGGACAGGTTGGGGGGACGTCAGGTACATGGAATCTCATGTCACCAACTGTCCCTTCCTGTAGTCACTGACCCTTAACCGAGAGGCACGGCCAGACACAGAGTGCACATCAGACATGTCAGATGATAAATGACAAGGTCTTTATTAAGGAGGAGCAGGAACAGGGCGGGATGAGACCCGCCTGGTCTGAGCTGACCTGGGCAGAGGCTCAGGGGTCCATGGAGAGTGGGGAGGGGGGTCTGGGTGAGGAAGCCCCCGAGGGTGGGGGCCCGGGGGCCTAACACTGGGAGGGGGACACCGTCTTCTCCACGGTGCCCGCCTCGTGCGTGACCTGACAGCTGTAGCTGCTGTGCGACTTCCACGTGCTGGGCGACAGGCTCAGGTAGCTGCTGGCCGCGTACTTGTTGTTGCTCTGCTTCGAGGGCTTGGTGGTCTCCACGCCCTGCGTGACGGTGGTGCCATCTTGCTTCCAGGCCACCGTCACGCTGCCCGGGTAGAAGTCACTGATCAGACACACCAGGGTGGCCTTGTTGGCGGTGAGCTCCTCAGAGGACGGCGGGAACAGAGTGACCGAGGGTGCGGCCTTGGGCTGACCTGCAAAGCGGGGGAGGGGCAGGAGGTCAGACGCCCGGTGCCTGTCCTGGGAGCTTCTGACCTGTGTCTCAAAGTGGGACAGGGGCTGCTGAGGACCCAGGAGGACCCCTAGTTCAGAGACCAAACTGAGTTTGAGGGTCCCTGCCAAGGAGGGTGGTCCTCCATCCTCTCCCCATTTCCTTAGGAAACCCTGAGCCTGAACACCTGCCATCGCTGTCCTGAGACCCCGTCTGGGCCCTGGTCTCCCACACAGACATCTGACCCTCACCCCCTGTCCTGCCTCCTCCTGAGCTTCGGAAGATGTCTGTTTGGGGCGGGCTGTCTGTCTTGAAAGTGGGTGACGTGAGCTCTCTGGCGTCCCGTGGAGCTGATCTCGGGACGTTTTGGACCCGATAGTCTTGCTCTTGGGACCTCGGCTGTTTTCCCAAAGGGGTCTGTTTTTACGCTAATCTGTCTCCCCTGCAGCCTGTCTGATAGGGTAGGAGCTTTGCTGATCAGAGAGCGTTCCTCTGCCGGTCCCCTTCTTAAGTGCCAAGTCCTTTTTGTCGTCCTCCCTGGCCAGCTGGTCGTATCAGCAGAGGCCCAGTGCTGGGAGTCTGCCTTTCTCACAGGAGGGTTCACGTGCAAGGGGCCCTGTGCTGCCGAGACCCAGGAGCCCAGCCAGCCCCTCAGAGCTGTCCTCTGAGGACAGCTTCCTGGGTTTCAGAGCCGTCTCCTCTCTCCTGATTTCCTTTGTGCAGCTCCCCTGAGGCCGAGGCCGGCGCAGGGCTCTGTCTGTGACAGCCCCACAGAGACCTGGCGGAGCCCTGCACCCCTGCGCGTCCCTGACCCTGGATCCCTAGACCCACAGCCCTGTGGCCGTTCCTGAACCTGTGACTTGTTCTCCAGCCTCGGCCCTGAGGGATCCGGGCCCCTCTCATGTCTCCACACGGTCCCCCCTCAGTTGTCTGTTCCCTCCTTCCCCTTGAGAAGGAGGCCCCGAGTACCCCCAGAGACAAAGCGGGTCCACCTGGAGCCCCGATGGGGCAGGACAGAGCGGAGCGAGTCTAGGGGCCAGCCTGGCCCTGGCAGACGGACAGAGGCAGCAGGTGATCCTTGGGTCAGAGGGGAAGGGCTGCTGCGAGCGCAGAGGTGAGCAGGAGGGTCTGACAGGCTGGGGAAGAGGTCGGGCCCCAGGGGCTGGGCTCCTGCTTGAAAGCCGGACCCGA